GCTGAAATCATTAAGAGCAGTGGGAACACAAGAAATACAGAATTGTACTTCAAATGGCACTGTGTGAAATGAGTTTTCAACATGTTTGTTTCTTTCTAATGGAAGGTCCTAAGCAAAAGAATTATCACAAATGTAATTCAGATTAGTCACAGTGAATAAAAGTATGAAAGAATTAAAAGCTTTAGAGTCTGGTGATTATCAAAGACATAGGAAACTTCTGAGCTGTTGAAGTGTACTGAGAAATGTTCTGTTTAGTTAATAGAATGAGCTAGAGATGTTTGCCAAAGGGCAGACCTGAGGATCTAGAATTCTAAATTGCTCCATTAGAGGCTTGGCAACATGTTTAGACTAACACTTTTCATAGTGCAGTGCCTAAAATAAAATTAAGGGAAAAAGTTAAAGCTCTTGAATCTTGCTATCGAAAGTTAGGTAGGACCAAAGTTTTATGAGCAGCAATGAAACATCTGAAGACTTGAAAAAATGTCTATTGATATGTAACCTTCTCTGAAGGTAAATAAATCCATATAGTTGTCATTAAATATCTGTTTTCCAAACTGCTCACAAATCACTGAAATATTGCCTTTTGTCATTAGCTCAAGTCAAATACCAGTCTGTGATCCTGAAACAAGGACTTGTTGGACTTGTTTCCTAACTCACAGTTCTCGGCTGCAGTTACTTTATCTAGCATACCCTTGAAATACGGTTGAATCACCTTAACGTTTCTTGGACTATTGAAATGGTTCCTGTGCCCCCAGAAACTGAGTTATCTGGCATAAACACCAAAATGCATGCCTATCTGCTGTTAAGTGCGTATACATATAGGAGCCCTGTTGCAGAAAGGTCCTTAGCAGCTCTTTTAGTCCAGCTTGCCCACTTCTTTAGAAAATAAATTACAGGATTCTCAAGCTGTGACAAAATTGTGCGCCTGCCGTTAGTTAACGTTTGCGAAGTACTTTTGAGTGTCACTGGTACAAGGTAGCAGTATTAGATCAGAAGCACCTTCCGAACTTACAAGTTGAAATGTTTTAGTGAATAAATATGCACAAGTGGCAACACAAACTGTCATTTGCTTTCATAAGCTGTGTATGAATGATAGCGCATGGCAAACACACTGTATGGATTTTGAAGTTCCAGGAAATAGTGCTCTTCCATCTGTTCAAAAGATTCATTTCCAAGCTCGACCTCATTCGCAGAGGGCATAAGTGGAAAAAATGTATTGGCAGATGTTTGTTTCTGGTTGTATGGGCCCTTCTGTTTTTGCATTGTAATATTCGTATTAGGTTTTCACTACCAAAACAAAGTTATTTATGTCATGGAAAAATAAGACTGATACAGCCCTCTTCAAGTCCATTCCTTATTAGGAAAAGTTTGCTAAAGAATCACTTTCTTGACCATGCTTTATTATTTTTTGTGTGGTCTGTTTGCATACAGTATAAGAAAAAATACAAAAATAAAGACACGAAATGGATGGAAATGTGCTGCGTACAGGCTGTCTTGGTACGAGATCTTTGTCTTATCTCCATGTCTTGGAAGACAATCCATAGCTAGGCATTTCTTCAAGCCATTTCTTAGGCCTCTTTCTTCAAGCATTTATTTAAGGGATTCTTGTGGCATTCCCTGTGTTTAGCTTGTCTCATTTTGGTCATTAAATATATTTGTGACACCCTTTTTACTTTTGCTAGAAATTCCCACACAATTTTTGTTTCCCACGGGCCTTTAGTATTTTATGGAAGAATGCTAGGGGTGCCAAGATGGCTCTTCTTTGTCTTAGAAAATTATACTTAGCTTATAAAATTACACTTATAAAATTACAATTAGCACTTAAATAAAAATTACACCTTTAATTGCTTAAAAAAGTAATTTCCTTTCTTTGTCTTACGTATCTCGGGAAAAAAAAAGAAAAAATATAGCTTGATGATTCTTGAGTATGCTCAGACAACACTCAGTCTGTGACCACACACGCAGTCCTATATAGTTGATGGAACAGTTCTAATTAAAAAGAAAAAAAAAATAGTATTAAGTTCTTTCTGTTTCTTGTGTTTATATTCTTTGGTGAAAACCTGGAACAGAGGGTCCATCATACTGCTGAATCATCTGTGGAGAGAAGAAACACTGGCTTAAAAATTTGCCCCTTTCTGTATTTGCCATTGATACATAGTCCTGACAACATTATAATAGGCTTCTCTCCAACACTTCTCCCCCACTAAATTATGTTCTTCACTGTGCGTGATGGAGAAGAATTAGAATTGGAGTTGCAAGGGCACTCGTGGAAAGGCAAGATGCTAACTTTCAAGTGCTTGACTTTACAAACTCAGGAATCCTGTTTTAATATGGATTTTGTGTATGGTTTGAGATAAACATAGAAAAAAATTGAAAGAGCTGCCGGTCAAAAAAATAGTAATGTACAAAGTCGTGTTATGAAATGTTCCAGCACACATGTATTTCAACATGCCATATATTGTTATCTGTTTTCTTCTAACATTAATAAATAATAATTAATTATGTACCTCATTTGCATGTATAAACTATTTTGTAGTTAGCAAATAATTAGTGATATATTTGTTTCTCTGAAGAAACAGAAGATTTGTACTATACTTAATTGTGATTCTGTAGGAAAAGTGCTTTACTATTCAGGGAATATTCACTCAGCCATTCTTTGCATCTTATAGTCTTGATTTTGCTCCCTTTCTTTTCTAAGGAAGAAGGAAGTCTTCAGTAAAGATATCAGGTCGGGTTCTTATTGGAAGTCTTTTCTTATGGAACAGATGGTATTATCAGCTGTATTCATCAGCTGTGGGACTTTAACAAATTAGGATATTTTTTAGCCATTGCCAGCAACACTGGAGTGGAGGCTGTCCAGAAAATCTCTTGAGCTGGTACCTTTTCTAATGTGCTGCCTTTGAGGTCCTTTAATCTCTGGTTCATCCTGGGTTCCCTTGGCAAAAATGTTCTACCCCAAGAATGAATCTGTTTTGAACATTTAGTGAGCAGAAGAAATGTGGAAAACTTCAGCTGCATTTAATTGTATATTGTTGTTTTAAAATAAAACATGTGAGTTCACATACAATTACAGCCAATTTACAGCAGCCACTCACTAATTTAAATTAAAAAGTCTGCAACTGCAGAGTAATTATACTTTAATTGCACATTTAGTACAAGAAAGTGAAGAGTCTAATGCATTGCATTTATGATATAACAACCATGTGAAAAAATATATTAGCATAAAGGGAGTAATTATGTTCCAAGAATGAACAAATTAATTCAAATCAACACCTAGGATGCTAAAGATTTTATGTCCTTTTTTCATTTGTATTGTTAAACAGCAGCAAAGTTAATTTTCCATACATATTAATTATTAACTGAAAAATTGATTAGACTTGATTTGTACCCATTCAGCATGTTACTGTTCTCTTAGGATTTTAAAGATCAGACACATATTGCTATCAGTCCCCCTTTTCCTATAAAGGCCTTTGGCACGATACCTTGCTTCCCAGCCACTCAAACCAAATAGCTTTTACTGTATAAAAAAATAAGTATTTCTGGGAATACCATCACTAGATATTAGCTAAAATTTCATTGTTTCTTTATGAAACTGCCTTTAGCAACCAAGAGGTCTATTCTCTCCCTAGTGTATATGGATATACGACTTCCATTAATGTTAATGTCTGATCTTGCTTGCATATAACAAGTATTACCTTCTTACATAGAAACAGATGTGGACCACTGTGTGTGTTACTCAGAGTAGGATTTTTGTGACCTGTAAGTTAACAGAAAAAAGAAAAGAAAAAAAAAAGAGTGCAGGTGGAATAATAAAAATTCTGGCAAGCAGTTAAAAACTCCAGTCATGTAATCGTGAAAACTAGGAATATGCAACTTGACTTCCTGTGCAGTTGGTATAAACAAAATGACCTTTCTTTGTATATGATTAGTCACCTGTTATAGAGCAGAGATTTGAGTGGCTATCTGATTTTTTTCTTCTTTATATCACCTATTTATTCTATGTAACAGTTTATGTTTATTTTCACCACACAGTTGTAGAGCTAGGTGAAGGGAAGCAGATAGGCCGACAGGTTATGATTTTACTGAGTTTCTTTGTGACTGAAGAGAACATATTTGCACTTCCAAAGAGGTGTGTATCAGCAGTCATGTATGTGTGAAAATACTTTTCTTCCTAGCTGCAGTTTGTCACCTTAGCCCATGCATTGGCAGAGCTGGATGTAATAGAAATAATGAATCACAGAGTGGTTGAGGTTGGAAGGGACCTCTGGAAGTCCAGCACCCCTGCTCAAACAGAGCTACCTAGAGCTGGTTGCCCAAGACCAGATGGCTTTTGAGTATCTTCAAGGATGGAGACTCCACAACCTCCCTGGGTTACTTGTGCCAGTGCTCAGCTGTCCTCACAGTAAAAAAAGTGTTTCCTGACAGGAGACCTCCTGTGTTTCAGTTTGTGCTCATTGTCCTGTCACTGGGCACCACTTTAAAAGAGCATGGCTCCATCTTCTTTGCACCCTCCCTTCAGGTATTTGTACACATTGATAAGGTTTCCCCCCTGAGCCTCTTCTTCTGCAGTCTGAACAGTCCCAGCTGTCTCATCCTTCCCTCATATGAAGATGCTCCCGTCCCTCATTTGCCTTCACTGCACTGTCTCCAATACCTCTACGTCTGTCTTGCACTGGGAGCCCAAAGCTGGACACACTGCTGCAGATGTGGGCTCACCAGTACTGAGCAGAGGTGAAGGATCACCTCCCTCGACCTGCTGACAATACTTTGTCTAATGCAGCCCAGGATACAATTAGCCTTCTTTGCGGCAAGGGCACATTGCAGGGTCATGATAAACTTAGTCTCTCGAATGTCAGCTGGCACTCTTTAATAGCTAAGGTCTACTCTGTGGGTACGTAGGCAGAATAGAGAATTCAGCTGAGTTTCAGTGACTGTGCCTGTCCAGTTGTGCTTCTGAGGAAACTGTCCTCTGATTCTGCTTTGGTTTTGGTCTACTCTGTGCTTCCGAAAAAGTGAGAAGCTTTGACCCTGCGTCTACATGGCCTCTTTGGGAGTCTCACATCCTTTGATCTGTCTTCATTGTGCTTTGCATTAGTTGATTTACCACAGGTTTTTATATATATTTTTTAATATATATGTATCTCAAGTGAAGCTAATAAAAATTCACCTGCGGATAGGATCAGAAGATGTGTATTTTACATTATGTAGCTCAGTGGCACCCGGGTCCATGAGTAGAATTCCAGCTTGTTACAATAAAGCAAAAAATAAATAACAATAAGATGCTGTGTCAGCCTTTTGAGCTTTGGTGCACGGCGTAGAAATATGTTGCCTGACTTTTAAATTAATTCTTCATTATTTTTTCAGGCAGTTTTCAACTATAGAAGGGGCCACATGAGGCTGTTTCCAACAGCAAGAACAAAACAAAACAGGAGCAGTGTAATAAATAAACCCATGTCTCATAAAAAACACAAAGCACAATTTTATTATTGCCTTCTTAAGTGCAGTTCCTAGAAACACCTTGGTGGAGAAGGCAAACAGAAGTAATGAACTCCTTGAACAGTCCTTTTAATATTCTGCTCTATGTTCGTGCTCTGCAGAGCCGACAAGAGCTGTATGCAAACAGTTTTGCTGAGGGCAAAAGAATGCTTCACCATTAAGGAGCATGACCCTTCTCTCTGTGATCAAAATGAAAACCATATGCCCCTTGATGTCATAAAGTATTATTGTGACCATTCCAATGGGTTGTTCCTCAAGAGTTGGGATGTTGTCCCCTGACACAATTTGGTATTGAAATGGTAAATGATCATTAATTGTATCCACTGACACAGCAGAAATATTCCTCAAAGTTGTGTTTCTTTGATATGATGGAGGTTTTTTTTTTCTTTTAATGTTTAAAATCAAAATCAAACACAGGGAAAGTCCAATTACTGTGAAATGCTTTGTCTCCCACTCTTTCTCTGTGGTCCTTCTGTTCCACTCTTGTTTCATGTTAGGCTGGGTGAAACCAGTCTAAATGAACTCCTTGGTAGTTATTTTATACCTTGTGAATAACAGGATATATCTCACTCTTGTTTATGTATGCATGATATTTGTCCTGTTTCTCCAGTAAGTGATTATTGCTTGCTAAGATGCATTTAGCCCTTAACAGGACAATGCCTTTTCCAATCGAAACGATTCCATGACTCTATGATTCTATGGTTGTGTTTTAAATTAGCATGCAAAGAATGGAAGAATGCATCTCCAGCATCAGTCACTGTGATATTTAATGGCTAACATTTTAAAAGCAGAGTTGTTATCATATCAAAGTTCTAAATTTGAAAAAAAGATGAACAGAATACAGAAATTTTCCTTGAAACCAATGCTTTTGACATTTGTGGGTTGGTAATTTGTGACCTTCAGACTTTTTTACTGTATTTTTAAGTATGGTCACTTTTTAATTTCTCCTTGTCAAGTCCAATTGCAACAAAACACTTAAACGCACAATTTAAGTTGGGGAGCAATCCCATCTAATGCCATTGGGAGTTATTCACCTATCTAAAAACAATTGAAAGGGCTTTGCAGGACAGAGATCTTATATTTCAGTCTCAGTTTCCAGTACTTTGGAAGTAGATTCTCTATGTACAGCTTTGATTTTCTGATTTTCTTTTTCTTTACAGGTAACCCGATAGCTAAAGACAAATCAAGTCAGTCTCAAGGCTGATAACAGTAAATACAACACATAGGAATTTCATTCCTCCAGGCAATCCTTGAAGTGAAATTTTATACTGCTGGGGTGTATCCTTCAGAATCAATTGTTTCAGTGAGAACCTGGCTTGTAATCAGCAACAGCCTTGAGATCAAAACTACTGGAAAGTTTTTCTGAACTTCTGTGTCACAAATATTTTCAACTGATTGAACTGTGTACACTTGTAAAATTGCACTTGCTGAGGAATTTGCAGCTGTAATCACAAGCGTTGATATTCAAAAGGTGCAGAAAAGCAGCAAACTTTCGGATTCTCCATTCCAGACCTGTGGCTTTTCATCTCGATGAAGTCAACCTCCAAAATGTATTAGTTTCTTCTCTCTAAAATGATCCCTTGTCCACCATTCAGATTGCTGGTGGGACTGCATACTGCTTTAATTAAATTTCTGTTGCAGAAATTGTCCTCTGGCATGGCGCAGTTTTAGACATTTTTATTTGTATTCTAATCTTGGAGCTCTCAAAGGTACATATTTAAACATCTGGAAGTTGCTTTTGTTATAGGAATGGAAATATATATCCATTGTTAATAATTATTGTTGACAAGTAATAGTTATCTTAATACATCAGTCATATTAGAATGTATAGTCAGGTTGACATGTTTCCCTGAGGCTAACCAACTACTGCAGCTCTTCGGCAGTTAAAAAAGTAGTGGTCAAAACTCAATTACCACTTCCATTGTAAGGCATTTGGTACCTTTAAGATATACATTTCCATTCAGTTTGAAGGACATGGATGTTCTTGATATGTACTTTACTTTCCCAACCTTTAATGCATTGAAATTCATGGTAAACAGTCTATGACAGTATTTCATCCCTTTTTATGAAGGTAGGCAGGGATGTAAATGAGTTTTGCAATTATGAAATTGGATGGTAATCATTCAGAATTTTTGTCTTTTTATTAAAAAATAAAATCTCTTGCTTGACCCTAAGTACTGTTGGATGCTTATGTAGACGTCTGCTCAGTCTGTTTGCTATAAAGGAAAAAAGTCCTAGTGCACTCCCAGATTTACAGTTTGTGGGATTTTGCTTGCTTACAGTCATCCAATTCAGATCTGATCCTTGCCAAAATCATATTTACTTTTTTATTTTTTGTTTCAGTAGCAATTTTTGAACTTTGTGATGTGCTGTTACATGAAAAAATCCTCAATATTTAAAGGCCTTAAGCATCTATGAGCTTTTTTCTAAGTTATTACAGAATGTATAATTTTATACTCCATTTAATGTATATTGTACCATCTGTAATATTGATAAACCAGAAATTTGGCAATTCCTTTTAGCGACACTGCATAAGCATGCTGACTGGAGAGGGTGAGGGGGTTCTGACTGTATGTCTTGATGGACTAAAATGAAAACCGCACACACTTAATGGTAGTCAAAAATACATAGAGGCAAGCTTATTTTAAAGTCTTGTGTGGTTACCAGACTCCCAGAAAAAGGGGGAAATTACTTTATCATTACAAGCCATTGACATGGCTAGGTAGTTATATATTAAGTTCCATGATGGATGAACACCCTGGAGTGCTCTGCCTGTCACAGTAGCCCCTGCTGTTCCAAAACCATTTCATTATGTCTGCTGTATTATTGCACAGGAGAGCTTAAATAAAATAAATGACTGTTGGGAATAAATAGAAGTATATTCTGTCATTCTGTTGAGAAATAATAAAAAATGTTGGCAGGGAAAGATATTATTTTCTGATTAAAACTTAATTAGGATACACTGTTTGTAGCAGCAACTAGGTATCAGTATTTTAGGATGGATTAATATTGTATGGATTTGTGCTAACAGGTGCAGGACAGAAGGTAGCATCTTAAAGAGATTGTCTGGGACAGTGCAAAGTGTAAATGTGCTGTTTTGTAAAATCTGAATATGGCCTCTCTTTGGTCAAAAATCTGCATCATGCTTCTCAATATTTGTTTTCTTTGTTTCTTTGTTCTTAAACCAACACTGAAAATACTGTATTATATACAAGTGTAACACATGCATATCAATAAGTGAAAATAAATGGGTTTTCAAATATACTGAATAGATTATCTGCAGTAGATTAATGTTGTGAATATTCATATCCAGTGAATAAAATTGTAATATAAAATAGAGCTCCCTGTATGGATGTGCGCCTTGGAGATCTGTTTACCCATGGTACAAAATAATTTTTTTATTCAGTGAATAAGAATCTCAAGGGTTATATTGATTTTGTATTTCCTCAGTAGACCTGGGAATATCTCCTCCCTCTTTGAAGGGTCATTTTCCAAAGGAAACTGATATCCAGCACAAGTGTTCTAGCATTGTCATGGGAAATTCTGGTGGGCGTACAGTTGTTTTCAGGCCAGACTGAATAAAAATCAGTTTTTTCTTCAAAAATGGGAATCCTGAAAAATTCTCATTTAGACCTTTCAGTAGCAACAGAACATGGTAGATATTCCTGAAAAAGTAATGTTTCAGGTAATTTTTTGAACTGGTTAAAAAAAAAAAAAAAAAAGCCAGTTCAACAGTGAACTCTGCTTGTGCATCTTAAAGCAAGCTGGGAACTGTAGTTCAGCTGTCCATAGTGCCTGTTTTAGCACTGCCTTTGAAAAAGGAGTATAGATGACTAGATCAGCTACGGGCATTCATGTTGTAGGCATGTGAAGATTAATCATGCTTCAGTTACACCTTTATTACTTATATACTACTTCCCAGATTATTTGATATACCCAGCTTCCTGTGATTACAAAGACGATCAGGCATTATGATCAGTGGGAAATCCATATTACACTTTGGATTCAGTAATCATCAAGAACTCTGAACTGCAGGAGAATGTGGGTTCTTATTCAGCAGTTCCATGTGGCAGTGCTTCAACAGGGAGAGAAAGCTCACTGCTTTGTTCAAACCTTTCAAAATGAAATATATTGGATCAGTTCAACAAAACATAAAGGAAATCCTGATATGAGTCATAATGAAAAAAATTTCCAAATCAGATCTAATCAATCCGAAATAGAACTTTAAAAACATTCAAGACTGTATCTTGGTTGTATCTGGCTTATTGGTCATAAGTAAGTGCTAACCTTTGAAACAGCACTGCTGCAGATACCACTGTTACTACCTTTAAATCCACCTGTTATCCTATATGCTTTTAATCTTCCTATTTACCCCCTATCTTTAAATCTTGGCTCCTCCAGCTCTGCTCAAGAACGCTACTGGTGTAGCATTTCAGTGCTTCGCCAAGCCAATGCTGCTCTGTTGCTCGTAGAATCTATACGCTTTAAAACTGGAGATGGAGTGCATCAGATAGGTAGATTTGTTCTGAAACTAGAAATCTACTATAAAGCATGTTATTTTGTTAGGTTTCCTAAAAATATATGCAAGGTGGGTTTTTTTTCTCATTATAAGTGTACAGCTGGCTTTTATAGTTTCCAAGTAATGCATCGATGTCTATAACAACCAAACAGAAAGATGTGATTGGCATCCTTTCCTGTTGATTTACTGCCTCCTCCTTCATGCCTTGAATTTTACACATCTGTTGTTAACCAAGATATTGGCAGGGAAAAGGAGCATACTTTTGGTTTGTAAGAGAAGTGTTGCCTTAATCTCTAGTTTCTTTTTGACAGTTGTTAGATAGCTCTATATCAAACATGTCACACCTGAACAATCTGATGGCATTAAATGATTTCTCATGGTTTCAGCATTATTAAATTGAATGATAAGAATTACCTAGTCGCTTTGTTAGTCTTTATAACACAGTTTGTACCCTGAGAAACTTTTCTGTTTATTCTTTTATAGAATGAGGAAAAATTTCCAAATTACATCTTTGATCTTGTTTCTGTAAGAGGTTATGTAACTTTCTGATACCACTTTACAGTCAGTCATTGCAAATACTTTAGCAAAAATGTCTTCCCTGGCTGTTATTTTGCATCGTCTGTATTCATTGGCACTACTTATGCGGTGATTACAAGAGGTAGTATATGAAAAGGCTGAATTTCCCACAACTTTGTTTTGACAGGTGTTGACAAGTGTTGCCAACACCTCTTAATCCAAAACTAACTTAAGACCATCTGGCAGGAGGACCACTGATAGTGACAGCTGGAAACTGTTGCGTAAGGGAATGGCTGTTCTTCTTTCTCAGACTGCTGTTATTGGGATGCCAGGGTGGGCAAACCCATTGTAGTACGATTGCGTCACCAGGGATGTAGGTTCTGGAGATGTGGATCCTGCATGGGAGCGCTGGGGTATGGTCGGCATCCTGAAGCTGGGGCTGTGGTGGTGACAGCAGGTCCTTCGGCCTGTTCTCTAGAGTGGTGGAAAGGTCTGTCTCATGTGTCTCTGGGATTTGCTCCAAAGCCAGACCACAGAAATGACAAAGTGCTTTGATGATTTCAGTGGGGTTTGGATAAGACATTCAGCTGCAGTTGTGAGTATTCAGCATTTTGCTCAAAAAATTCTGAATGAGGAAGTTCATTAAAGTTCATATGCCCATCCCTATTCAGGTTAGTGGTTAAAGAACCTTCCCTCTATTTTCAATATCTCCTTTCTACTGTACAGGTAATTCTGTGTGACAATGGGAAATGAATCCAGTTATTCCTTGATAAGAGATTATCTTTGTTAAATATCACTAATCACATCAATATTTGCCATGACTGAAAGACTTGAAATATATCTGGTTTTCAGTTCTGAAAACCAGTTTATTGCCCAACTTCATTCAAGAAATAATTTGTGTAATAGAAATATTATTGCCCGTATGTAAACTTAACTGTAAAAGTTCTACATTAGCTCTTTAAATTATGTTTATATCTATAACTGTGAAATTCTGGTTAGAACCTCTGTAACAGCAGGGCCATTCTTTTCTCCCCTGAAAGACTGAGGTAACGTAAAGACCCTGTAGTTTGGGATTTATGGCTTTGTTTTCACTGTTTCAACTGCACAGCTGGGAAAACAACATGTAAAAGTGCTTATGTTACTCGGATTGCTGAGACGTTTTTCTTGAATATGATGAATAGGTGGAGTTTCAAGTTTACCCCATATCAGCATGTTGGTTGAATCTCTTGATCTCTTTTCTCCTTACTGTCATAACAAACGTGACAAAAACTGAACTTGAATTCTCTAGCCTCATGTCTTAGTGTTTAGATCTGATACCTAGAACTCACAAAATGTACGCTAGTTGTTTTAGTCACTATGTCTTGATATAAAAGAGGTTTTTTAATCCGTTTCTCTCTTTATGATTAATTCTGGATGCCTTGCCAATATTTGGATGTAGAGAATATGATCCTTCCATTTACTGACTTAGAGTTTGGGTCTTTTTGTTGTTCTTTTTACTTTTCTTT